TTTTTTTTTCAATGCATTTTACATCTTGAAATTTTGTTATATTAGTGTTGTTTAGCTCGCTTACTTTTTAATGTTTCATGCATAATTTCTCAAATTTTCATTTGTTTTCTCTCAAATGAATTATGTTACCATGATTTAAAAATGTTCCAGATTTCATCCTTAAATGACTACTAGATTTTGAGCAATTAATTCACAAATGATCATTTATTTTCAATTTTTTGGGGGTAATCGAGGCAAAGATTTTCAAGTTTGATAGCATTTTTAAAAATTATTTTAAATTATGTATTTATGTTGTAAAATTGTATGTTTTTCGATTATGGGTGAAACAGAATATACTTTTTTTTGTCTATGTTTAAAGTTAATTTATTATATTTAAACCAGTTTGATTTAAGCTTAAGGGGTCATTCGCAAATTATGTCACACAAAAAAACAACTCTTTAGACCCCCCTCTCTCCTTGTCACAAAATATATGTTATAATTAATGCTTCTTGTCACAGCTTGTCACAATATCTATGACCCCCCACCCTTAAAAGCGTGACGTAATTTGCAAACGACCCCTAAGTTCTTTATTCATTTCATAAAATAGTTTCGTAATCCTAAGATTTGATGCAAATAAATTTGTATCATCAGCAAACATGATGTTTTTTAAGTTTGATACTTTATTTATATCATTTATATAAATTAAAAAAAGAAGAGGCCCAAGAATCGAACCTCAAGGAACACCGCAAGTTATTTCGTTTTGGCGTCTGTTATTGACGGGGACATATTGGTTTCTATTTATTAAATAGCTTTTTTACCAATTTAAAATATTGTTATTTATCCCATTATATTTGAGCTTTTGCAGTAAAATTTCATGATTGACGGTATCAAATGCATTTTGATAGATCAAAAAATATAAACCTAATGTGTATTGCTCTCTATCAAAAGGCTCAGAGATTCGCCGGATAAATTGAATAATTGCGTGTTCCGTTGAAATGCATTTATTAAAAACAAATTAATTATTATTTAACAATTTATTATCATTAAGATATTTGTATGTTCTATTATAAATTATTTTTTTAAAGATTTTTGAAAAAGCTGGGAGAATAGAAATGGTGCGGTAGTTGCACACATCTGTTTTGTCACCATTTTTGTAGATTGGAATAACTTTTGCAATTTTTAATTTGTCGGGAAAATCCCTTGTTTTAAAGATGCTTTAAAAATTTTGAAAAGTATATCTTTTTGGTTTTTGTAACAATCTATAATTATGTTACTATTTAGTTCGTCGAAGCCAGTAGCTTTATTTCTTTTAAGAGATTTAAAAGCTGTCAAACTCCTGTCATGTCAAACTCCTCGAGAGTTAGTTCAATCGATAGTTCATTGTTAGTATTTAGATCGTGCCTAGGGGAAAAAACGTCTATAAATGAATTATCAGTAGTTGGAATTTTGTTCGAAAGTTTTTGTCCGATTTTTGTGAAGAATTTATTAAATTTTTTTTTTATTTCACTAGGTTTGGAAATAATTTTTTTTTTCAAAATTGATAGTGTTTGGCAGGGAGTTTGAACTTATATTTAACTTTCCAGTTAATTCCAAATGCGCTTTGAGTCGTTTTGAAATTTTTTGATAAGATTTGAATAATACATTTTATTCAAATTTTTTCGAGTCTTTTTAAAGATATTTTTATAATTCTTATATATTTTTTCACTTGCAGGAGATTTTTTTTTTTAGATATTATATATATAATTTTTGTTTTGTTCTGGAGGACTTTTTTTAGTCCTTTTGTAATCCAGGGAATATTTAATGTTTTGGTATATATTTTTTTTTCGTAAACTCAAAGTTTGCCTCATATACTGAATCGAAAGTTTCAAAGAATTTATTATAAATGTTGTTTGCGTTATCGTTAAAGTCAATATGCTCCCAATGTAGTAGAGATAATTGAGAGTTAAACGGTTCGAGATTTTTTTTGGTAAAACAACGCTTTCTAGTAATTTTATTTGCTGTTAAATTAAGCGTTGATCCGCCATTAAATGTTTAGAAAATAGGAAAATGGTCTGATAAATCAGATTTTACAATACCTGTTTGAATGCTGTAATTGAAAATGTCTGTTGCAACAATATTATCAATAAGAGTTGATGAGTTTCTTGTTACCCTAGTTGGACGATTTATCAGTAGAATTGCTTCCGTTGTAAATATTTCATCATCAAATTTTTTTACATTAATGTCATAATTGTATAGTAAACAATTTATATTTAAATCTTCTATTATATAATTTTTTTTCTTTTCATAGATTTCTTTGTTAATTATTTTTTGTTGTAAATACAAGCTAAAATTTTCAGCTTAAAAGAATATTGTTTTTTTTCGTTTTGTTGAAAATTTCAATGGTTACGATTTCTTTATCGCCGTCAGAAACGCTCAAATTATTCCTGATACAATGTGCAATGGTATCTTTTATATAAATCAGAACTCCTCCACTCTACATGAAACATTATTACTTGGATGTACAATTTAATGACCTTATAATGGACTTTTTTTTCTTTTTTTTTCTTTTTACAGAAGGCTGGTTTTACATTTAGCTTATTGCTTCAATTTGGAAATGTAAACGATTTAATTTTAGTCAAATAACTCCTAAACATGCCAGGCAATTATCAAAACAAGGCTTTAATTTTTTTCACATGTTTCTAACATGTTTTCTTAATCATTTTGACTGGGACAAAAATAACTTTTACTAGATTAAAAAAAAAATTATTTCTGTAAACTGGTGCTTATATACGCTGTATGGGTGTAACTTATTTTGCACAGTCTAAAGATTTTCATGAAGACTCGGTACTTAAAAAAAGATCAGTTTTTTCTAATAAATTGGAACCATGTAAACAGTTCATTCGAAGCAAATATAATGTATAACAGATTCTTTCAAACCTTTTATGAAATTTACGGTGTAAATTTTCCAAAACGTCAATTGATATAAACCGATAAAAGTTTAAAGTCACCTTGGGTCAATGCAGATTTTATTGACTACTTGTGGCTTTTCCTATGCTAAGCCATCAATATCTTCGGATATGTAACATTAAAAAAATTTAACATGAAAAATTCAAATATATATATATATATATATATATATATATATATATATATATATATATATATATATATATATATATATATATATATATATATATATATATATATATATATATATATATATATGTATATATATATATATATATATATATATATATATATATATATATATATATATATATATATATATATATATATATATATATATATATATATATATATATATATATATATATATTAAAGCGCATAACGTACATTGTACTGAGACTGTTACAACTTTAACAGGTTGTAACTACTCTGTTAATGGAGTGTACATATCGACTAAGTAAGATTTAGGCGCAGTTGATTTACAATCAACATGCAGATACATTTACCGAGGGTTGTGGTGTGGTCAGTCTCTTTTAATTAAAAGAAAGTCTTGAAACTTGAAATTATAAAAAAAAAAAGTTGCGTCATAAAATCGCCTACCCATCCCCCCATCCTCATTGCTAAAACGTGACGTAACTTATGGACGACCCCTTATATTTTGCCGAACTAAAAGTTGACAAAATAATAAATCACGGTTGTTAGCATCGAATAAGTTAAATATACTAAATTTGAAATCATGGTCAATTCTGTCCTGTTAATCAATAAGACTCTAATTGCCAAAAAATAATTTTTGAGATTGTCAAAACTGTTTAATATTCGGCCTATGCTATATATTATTATATTCGTTTTGACTTTAAGACCAGTTATCATTTATATAAGTTATAACATAATTATATTATAATTTATAATATAATTGTTTTATAATTTATATAAAGCTTTATAATATAAAACTTCTTTAATTTTTTTTGCTGTATTTGGTTGCTTAAATAAAGCTATGAAAATAGATAGAGTTTTTTTATATAAATTTCAATTAAAAAAGAGTGAGCTTTATAAAAAAATGTATTCCTACTGAGCACATAAATTTATGTCAGTGGTGATGATTTCAATTAATCTAAAATTCATGACAAGCAAAACCTTAAGGTTTTTTTAAACCTAAATATGCACGATGCTTAAGGCTTTAGCAAAGGTTTTAGTAAAGGCTTTAGTAAAGCTGTCACAGAAGACATGCATTCTCACAATTAATAAGTATGTTAGCAAATAACTTTTATACAATCAAGTCTGCAGAGATATAGGCTATATTATGGCCATTTATATGCAGAGAAATATAATATCTATGATCGGTCTGCGATAACATTAAAGTGATTAGTATAGTCTAAAACTAAGGTGCTAAAATTCAGGTTTTTTGTCTCTACTCCTTCTAGTGACAAAGTATAATAGAATTTTGTATTAAATATTATAAAAAAAGTTTGTCAAAAATATTTTTTTTGTATTTAATAAAATAAAAAAAATAGTAATTAAAATTGAAATAGTTTATTCTTTTAGAGCTGTTATTTTAATAATCTCACAAGATCGCAACAATTTTGAATTTAAATTAACTAATTTAATTATTGGTGGTGAAAAAAGTGTATATAAAAAAAAGAAAACCAGCGGTAACGATATTAACTAAAAATAATTAGACTTAAATATAAATTGTAATAAAACATTTCTAGGAGAAACCTCTAAGTTGTGTTACATAGAGCTTAGTTAGTTAAGACTGCCAGCATATTGATCACCAAGAATCAAGTTAATCTAGTGTAATTATTTTTGAAGCAATAATCTTTTATTCATTTTGAAATAATAAAAAGCAGGTATTAGTTGTATTTAGCAAAATGTTGTGAATAAATACTAATAATTTTTATGTTTAAACAGATTTAAAAATATTTAACAAAAAAAAGTTACATTTTTATATTTTTGACTACATGGAGTTAATTTGTCTAATATTATTGTTATTGGTGTAAAATATAATTTTTTTTAACTATTGATTTTTTCATTACATTATTGTATTAGCTTTGCTTTTAATATTTTTACCCATTTTTTTCTTTTCATTTATATAAATAAATAATAAAGAAGTTTTAGTTCATGAAATTTGGTGTTATTTATTTGTAAGTTATTTCAAAAATGCAGGCAGCTGACCTAGATGACAGCCTTGGTAAAAGATCCAGAGAGGCAAAGTAATAATTTTTATTAAAATTTACATTTAATTCTCTTAAGTTTTTTAATAATTGCATAATTAGTTTTATAATTAGGCTTTGTTTATTCATTGTGCTATAAATAATTATAACAATTAAAAAAATGTGTTTAAAAGTAAAAAAAGAAAGAAAAAAAATTGTATAACATGTTTTGTATATGACAAATTTGTACTACAATAACATTTTGTGACATTTATAAATTTATTAGTACAATATTATTAACATTTATATTGTACTATAAAATTTTTTAACATAAAAAAAAGTTGTACTACAATTTTTGTACTTTTTAATATTTTTTAATTTTGAGATTAAATTTTAAATATAAACTACATTTTATTTCATCGCAATAAGTGTTTTTGCACCATATTTCTTGCATTCTGTAGACATGCCAGTAATTAGTTATTTAGGCATATACCAGAGTTTAAATATTATATTTTTTTTGTCACAGGTTGGTACTTAACACTACTTGTGACTTTTAGCTTAAATAAACATGATTTATTTTTTGCCTATTTAAACTAATAAGGAGGACTAAATTAAAAAAAAATGTAGTTAGAAGTAATGAAGTTTCAAATTGGTTTAAAATAGTTATATTTATAATTAGTCTATCTTTAAATTGTTATAATAAATAGAACATTTAAAATAAAAATACTTATAACATCCACCCACTTTAGAGAAAAAAATATTTTTTTAAAGTCTTTTAGGTGGTTTTTTAAATCTTTAGTTATTTGTTAAATGTTATATTACCTTGTCGTTTATTAAGGTGCTCATTAAGACATTATCCTCTTCAAAAAAGTGACACTTTAATGACTATCCATTAGTTATGTCAACAATTTGGGTGATTTTTACCTCCCCCTCCCCTTGTAAACAACTTGTCAAACTTCCTGAGAACCCTCCTCAAAATTATGAAAAAACCCACCCCTCTACCTTAAAAATCAAGTTAAAATTGAAAATAAAAACAAAGCAATATTTTAAATAGACATTTTAAATTTACAACTAAAACAAAAAAGTGATGAAAAGTAAAATGTTTAGAAAAAATATATATTTTTATTTTAACTTATGAAAATATTTCAAACAAATATAACAATTTAAAATTAAAAAGCTTTCTCTGAACAAAATGAAAATAAAAGTAAAAGGCATAGAAAAAAAAAGTTAAAAATCTTTTAGCTTATGATATTTCCAGTTTATAACTACAAAGACTTACTCTGAAAAAAAAAAAAGAATAAAGGGTTACACACCTTACATATTTAAATTATGAACATATATCAAATTAATACAACACTTCAAAGACTCTGTTTTGATATTTACAAAGATTTATTTTAACTCCAAGTTGATATAAGATTAAAAAGTTAACAAACTATAAATATTTTTTTTTGCAATATTAAATTTAAAAAGCATTTAACAAATTTCATAAACCAGGGGTTGGCAACCTTTTGAGACAGAAGTTACAATTTACAATTTTTTTTTGATTTTAAAGAACTACCAACATCTTTACTTGTGCATGGAGCTAAAAAGCTGCATCTTGACATAGAATGAACCACATAAACCACATGAAGCTTGTGAGCTTACCAAACTTACCAACAACCAAGTTGAAAAATAATAATGTTACAAGCAAACATACTGTTTATGCTTATTTAGTTCTGTATATGTTCATTTGTCAACAAGTTTCATTTGTCAACAAGTTTCAAAAAATTTCAGACCCTTCCTCCCCCTAATTTGTTAGAGTAATTATTGGACTGCCATTTAGACCATTTTTGCTGTTCTAAGAAAACTATATTTTAAGTTTTAAAGTTATCACACTATATTATTTATATAAATTATTATCTTTTAAATTGTTCTTTACCATTTTATTTTATTTCTTTTTTAGAAAATGCCTTTATTTTTTATATTATTAAAAAAATAATTAAAAAAATTCAAACTTTTTTGAATTAGCAAAGCAAATAGACTTGATATTTAATAGACCTTAAGTATGTATAATTTTATGAGTTAATCACTTTATGGCCATGCCATTATATTATGTGGTTATGGAAGAATTTAGTTAATTTAATTTGATTATGCAAGAATTTAATTAAGTTACTTAACTAGCACTAACAAAGACATCAATTTATGGAAATTACACAGGTGTTGTAGCATACACTGATGACATCATACCTCCTAGTTTTACTCTGTCTGAAATTAAAAAGTTTATAGCAGCTTGTAATATATACACCAACTCAAATTGTATAAAGTTGAATGCTGATAAGACCGAGTTCTTGCTCACCAGTAAAAAACAATTTGCAAACTGCATGATAACAGTTGACCACCAACAAATAAAACTGGATGACAAGCTTAATCATCTAGGTTTTATATGCACAACGCTAATATTTTAATTTTTTATATTGACAACGCTAGTATTTTTTTAAAACTTGATTAGGGCTGTTTTGATGTTTTAACAATTTAAATGCAATAAAAAAAAGTGTTACATTATGAATAACTTTTAATTGTTAATCTTTTCTAAAGTTTGTATTTTAGTCTATGACTTTAAATAAAAAAACAAAGTTAACTATAAAAATTGTTTAAATAAATGCATTTTGTGTAAGTTAATAAAAAATGTTATACATAAATTTTTATTTTGTAGGCATGTATTTTAATGATAAATTTAAACCTTTGAAACTATTTTTCCATGTCTTCTCAAAAGTCTTTTTTTTAAAGTTACTTTAATTTATGAATAAGTTCAACACTTTTTTCATGGTACTCATAAAATATCCATATACTCTTATAAAATATTCCTGCACAGATACTTGCTTAGTATCCGTGCAGAAATATTTTATAAGAGTTATACAAGAGTGTAAAATAACTTTATTTACTTATTAACTTAAGCATGTATTTTGTTAATTAACAGAAAAGTTTTGAAATAGGGGAGAGTTGGGTAGCACTAGACACTTAAAGAAAATATAGATTGTACACATGTGCTAACAGAAAACAAAGTGTCAAATGACTTTTTTTAAAAGTTCAAAATCTTCCCCTCCTGTCATTCGCTGCGGCATTTTGTGATAGATATTTTGCACTCAAATAATGTTATTATGTATTAAAAGTCACATAGCTTCTCTAGTTTAAGCAGTTTAAGTGTCCGGAGTTACCCGCTGTCCAGGGCTACCGGCTAACTTTCCTCTATTTTGTAATGTTCATACGAATAATTTTTATAATTAAACTTACAATTTTTTAAAATCTTCTAAACAAACATTTTATTTTTTGAAAAAAAATTTTTTTTTTCAATTACGATAGGAGTGATGAGTTTAAATCTTTTATAATAATTTTTAAATTTGTTAAGTGAAACACTTATTAATAAAGTTACAAATTGTTTGTAATAGTCAAATTAAAATTAAATTGCTATTTTTTTCTTTCTATTTTTACTAATAAAAAGTTTAAACCTTTTTTTAACTTGACTTACTAATTAAAGCATGAATTTACAAAAAATTACTATTTTAAAAAGACTACATTAAATTTTTAAACAATTTTTTTTGTGCAACTTTTTAAAAAAAACAAATGTTTATACAATTTAAAATATTATATAAAACACTTTTTAATAAATTTAATAATGTTTGTTCATTTAATAAACAAAACAATTAGTAGTTATTTGTTACTTAATTTAAAAGCGTTTTGCATAACTTTAATAAAACATTAAAAAAGATAAGTTTAATAACATCTGTTTCAAACATTAAAAATGTAACAAAAAGTTTTGCTTTGAGTTTATGTTTTTTATTTTATTTTAGTGCTTATATATTTTCTTTTTCATAAGGAATTGTTTTTTCTTTATTATTATTATTATAATTTTTCCCTAATTTAAGTTAAGCTTATTGTTTCTTTTTTCAGCACATCTCTAAAATGTTTAAATCTTCAAAACATAAACAATTGTGGTAAAGTTTTCGAAAAAAATCATTTGCTTGGTCAGCAATAGTGCTCAATTGCACGCCATTTCTGTCCAATTGCATGCCATTCCTGTCCTGTATGTGGGATACTAAAAGCTCTTTTTTTACCTCACTTAATCGTTTGAATCTAATATAATCGTTTGCTAATAGAATATCAGAATTCAGGGTAATAATCCAATTTTTTATTCAGTCTGGTTTTGGTGAAGCAAAATGTTTTTAGTTTATTTACCTCAATTAGAGCCCATAGAAGTAAAATAAAATTCAAACAAAATTAAAAAAAAGAAAGAAAAATGTATGTATTATGTTGACTAGAATGTTATTATTTGGGTTTAAAAAAATATATTTTTTAGTAGGATTGAAAGATAATACATAAATATAATACAATACCAAATTTATTAATTTTAGTTTTAGCTACATAGTGTGATTTGCATAATAAATAAATTAAGAAAAAAAAAATTAATAACTTTGAGAATCCATTATAAACTTGGCATTGTTACTGCTAAATACTTTAAAAAAAGGTTTTTACAGATAAGTAACAAAAGCGACAGAGACTGATCCCATCAGCAGCTGTAAAATATCTGTTGTGAAATATCAGTTGTCTCAGATATTTAACAACTGATAAAATATCAGTTGTTAAAAATATTAGACAACTGCACAGCTCATGAGTCATGTTCTCTATTCTAACTTTAAACATGACTTAAGTATCTAAAAATATTAAACATATAAAGACTTATTTGGTCTTTGACTAAGTAAAATTTGTCTGTTTCATCTTTAGATCTCAGTGTTAATGGTTCTTATTCCTTGATTTGCAAAAAACAGTCACTTGCTTGGCCTGGGCTTATGTTTATGCATCAGTTTATCTATTTTTTGTGAAAACTTTTTAAATCCTCTGATTATTCTTTTATGTATATATTATTTTTTATATATTATTCAATATCTTTTTTATTTGTTCTTCATTATATTTAAATTATATTTCAAGACTACACTTTTTTTCAATGTAATTTCTAACCAAATTAAGCCCTCGTTATTTTTATCTTTCAGCCAATATTGTTGTTAATGGTGACTTAGATGTTCCTCACATTAAATGGATTGGCTCTAATGCCACTGACCTTGCCTATAACTGCTATTGATAGTTAACTGATAGTTAACTTTGTTGCTTATTTTCTTGACAACCCTAATCATTTACCTTCAATTTTCAATTTGTCTCTGATCTCCTTAAATCTTTTATTTTGTAATTCTTCTTTAGACTAAGATCACACTTCTCAGTTATCACTTTAAAGCTGAATAAAATTCATTTTGAAATTTTATTTGTGATGGTCTTTGAGCTGACGTCTTGCGTCTCTCTGCTGGTAATCACATGTGTAGAAGCTTTTATTCTTTCTTTTTGGTTTAAAATCGAACCTCAGAATGAGGTTTGATTTTTCATAGTAATATTTTTAAAATGATTACTAATAGTAATCATTTAAACAAATTTTTTTATAAAAATAACTCACTTGTGAACAAACTTCTTTTTATTATTGCAAGAAATCAATATAAAAAGGTGCTGTCTACACTAAATAAATCAATAATTTTTTGTCCTGTTTACCAGCTTGTGAAATTCAGGTTGGCATAGGAAAGATAGGTAGATGTGAAACCTGACCTATCTTTGATTTACAACTGCTGATCTCTTAAAATGTCGGTATGCAAAAATAAATATATATAAAAAATATATTGTTTGTTCATTTTAATTTATTTATTGTAATTACTTGTTTTTTCAAGTTTGACAAGTTTATTTAAAAAAAAAATCCATTAATTTTTTCACCATTCATTTTTTTGTATTTTCTCAAATTTATTCTTTGTTGTTTGCACACTTACAAGTTATGGTTTTCATTTAATCCATTCAAATAAGAAGCTGCTACATCAAGCAAACTCAATACAAGTCATAATGCCTAACAGAACTATTATTAAAAAATGGAGATTTAAAGTCTGCAGCTTTTAAACAAATGATTCAGATGGAATAACTTTTTTAAACAAATGATTCAGATGAAAAAACTTATAAATATTTAGAGCTTTTGAAAAGTATAAATATATATATTTAGCCAACTTAATGTCAGCTAAGTACAGCACTCTAATGCCAAACTAAAATCTTAATTTTAGTTGGCTTGGATTTGCAAACTTTTTACTTAATATTTGTTTTTTATTTTTGTACAGACCTTCTTGGCACTATCTGTAGGAGTGCTTTTTGCCATCACTCTCTTAAATGTCCGCTGAGAGTATAAAGTGTAGTAGCATAGAAGTAAGTAGAGAAATATACATTGATTTGTATTTTATGATTGGTATTTTTCTGGCATGGAAAGTTCTGTGTGATTTTTTTTTTTACATATTTCCTTTGTTTTAGTTCTTGCATACTTATCCTTTCCACAATGTATTAGTACTTCTCATTGAAATTTTCAAGTGACCAATATGTATATAACCGTTTTTTACAATATTCTTCTGTAAGTTGCTTGACGTTCTAAATGAAAAATTTCTGCCTTACAGTTCAGAACTTTGAAGTTTAAGCTTAGATTCTGAGTTAATTTATCTAAAAATGTTAATTGAAATAGTAATAAGAAAGTGTGGACACTTCCACATTCTTTAGAGAAAAAAATCAAGCTCTGTAATTTTGTATATACAAATCAATATCATTAGACTGCTCTAAGTTAGTAAGTTGGTAAAATGTTTTTATTTTTGAGCATGCATTTTTTATTTTTCTTTCATTGTAGAAAATATAAAATATTATCTCTTCTCGGTTCTATAAAATCATTTTAAGAATATCATTTTAAATATGATTTTCTTAAAACGGTTTTAAATTTTTTTAAAGATAATTTATTGTTGCTTCCTTAAAAAGAACAAGAAATTCATTCCAGCTTATATTTATAGTTATAGTTTTATATTTATAGTTATAGTTATAGTTTGGAAGGTTTAGTTAGAGTTTTTTGTAAGCCTGATTGTTTACTGAAAGTCTTTGCCTACCCTATAGGGTTATGCCCTGGTTCTAAGAAAACTCTTGTTGTTGAAACTCTAGAAAGTGCTCAGAGAAAGATTTTCTTTTCTTTTCTTCCTTTTATTAAAATTTTTTCTAACACGACTGCAATCAACCATTATTAAGTTAGGAGTTACTAGAAAAATAAGAATAGAATTAAAGAGCAAGGAAAGGGTTGACAGAAGACTTGAAATGTTGTAGGTTGTATGGAAAACATAAATATGGAAGAGAGTTCCAAAGAGTTAAAGGGTGGGGGGAAAAACTAGATGAATTAAAGGATAGAACCTTGAGGTACCCCAGAAGTTACTGGAAATGAAAAAGAGTGTTGGCCTTTGAAGATAACTTTAATAAAATGTTTTCATAATCTCAAAAACATTCCTAGATACACCATATGAAGCAAGCTTATGGAAGCGACCAGCATGCCTTTATTGAAAGCCCTAGCCTTGTTGCCTCCATTTAATGCACAATAAAATCTGTCACACTAGTAAACAAGTCAGCCATAGAGTAATGGAATCAAAAACTATTTTGATTGATTATTAGACTAAAGATCAGATGTTAGAGTTTTGTTGATCAAAAACTTTGCCAAAAACAGATAGAAGACTAAATGTACAATAGTTGGAGGGGTCAGAATGTTATCCAGAGTTTTTAAAAGTTAAAATCACAGATGCCATTTTCCAGCAGGTAGAAAAATAAGATTCAGTCAAGCACTATTCAATAGTTTAGTGAAAATTGAAGAGAGTTCTAGAGAAAAATCTTGTAAGACTATAACAAGAATAATGCATGGACCACAAGCTGTAGAAAAGTTTAATTAAAAATATGACTTTAGCTAGGAAGCTGGAGTGATTTGAATCTCTAACAATAGGTAAACCTATTTAATTGGAATGGAAGGAAGAGTATGGCCATAGGATTCTATAGTCGAATTAGTAGAAAAGTTGTTTGCAAATAGTTCAGCCTTATTCTTGGGATAGGTAATAACTTTTAATAAGAATAAGGTTCTATTGTGCATTAGACAGACACAGTGATGCATAGGCTAATTCTCTTGACATACCATTTTATTCTATTCCATAAACTTCCTTTATATGGTGTATCTCGGATAGATTTTTAAAATTGTCGAATCAATCTTTTCTAACCAGAGTATTAAAGTTGTCCTTAAGTAGATTTTCCTTATAACCTAAAGTCTACTTTCCAGTTTTGACAGGTAGTCATTTAGTTTTTGATTGCTTAAAGCAGGAAACCAATTCTCAATGTAGTTTTTCTTCTATAAGTTTTGTATTCTTCCTTGAATGGAATGCTGTTGTTATATTTGGGCTGTTTTTTCTAATGTGGGCTTCTCACTTTTATGAAGGTTTAAAATTGCACTGTAGATTTTAGTAAACTGCTCAAGCTCTGATTGTTGAAAGTTGCATCAGTTTTTTTTTAAGTTGTATCATGGCTATGATTGTCTCTGCTAAAGCAGAGACAATCATTTAATGACTGTCATAATCATATGACAGTCTCTGCTCAAGTATCACTTGTTCTATAAATCAAAGCACAGTCTTTCACGAGTTGTCATTCAGAAAAGTCTTTTTATTGTCCTTTTACTGTAGATTTTCATTTTTTAAGTTTTCTTTTGCAACCTTTTTTTGCATTCTAAACATTTTCTTTGCTTTCTGTTAATTTGTTGGGAGTAAATAAATTAAAAAATAAAATTCATAATAAAAAAACAAAACAAAACAATTATAAGGTAAGCTATTTGTCATAAAAAACACTGCTGACAAAGCATTATTTTGATGACCAATAAAGTTATATATATAACTTATGATTATATGTTATATATAATATATAAAATACCTTTCTTTCTTTAGAGATTTACCTGCAGATATCTTAGCAGAGTTAAGTTATATATTAAACCCTCCATTAATTGGTAAGGACTTCCGTAGTTTAGCAGAACAAATGAACCAATCATTTCAAGTTATTTGCTGGCTGGAAATGCAAAAAAATCCCACTGCTTCATTATTAGAACTGTGGTGGTCAGGTTCTTGCATCTTATTATCTATTTATATTTTTTTGGTTATTTTATTTCTAATTATAAATTATGATTTTTTAAATGCTCACAGTAAAATAAAAATAATAAAATATAAAATTGGTATGGTATTTGCCATTCAGGATGTCAATTTGAAATAGTGGCTCTTAACAATCCAGAAAAAATATCCCTACAGGACCATCGTCATTAGATAAAATCAAATTATATTTGCTTTAATCATTTTAAAACACCTTATTCCAGTTATATTTAGTCCAATGTTTATGTTTTTTGGTGAATTTTTTTCAGCAATCTGGTTCTTTTTTAAAATCAATGGTTTTTAAATAGTCTTCCAAATACACTTTTATCATATACAGGCCTTATTTTAAATAAAATTGTCCAACACAATGTTTTGCACACGTAAAACTGAAATAGGTTGTTAATGGGTGTGATTATGTGTGCTTGTCATCAAGTCATCAAAAGCAATTGTAAAAACTGTAAATTGGTGTTGTGTGCTTCCCAAATTTTTTTTTCTTTGTTATTATTTTGATCTATTAACTTAAAATTATTACCATCTTAGCTTTGTTTAATACCATGTCTATACTGACAATAAAACACATTTGTTATTGTAAAAGGCTTTACAAATCAACAACAAAATAATACTGCAAGTTTTTTTTGTCAATATAAAAAGCTGTTTAATACAAATTATAGCATTTAAAACATAAAACTTATTTAAAATAAAACGTGTTTTATTGTAAGAATAAGTAATGTTTAACTATTTCTTGATTTTTTATTTTTAATGTTAAATTGAGTTTGCTTAAATTATTAAATTTTTTACTCTTGTTACTAGGTTAATGAGCTTTATATTGTGCTGCTGAAAGTCTTAATTATACATGCGCGTTCTGCATATGTAGAGCAATTATAATAAAATAAGTTTTAAAGAAGTTAGGTGAAGTATTTTTTAATAGAAACAATTTTTTCAGTTTTAGTTGAATAAAATATAATTAGGTTTTTTTTTAGAAATTAAAATATTTGCAAGATATAGACTTAATTTAAAAAAATTATGGCAATTAAAACTATAAATATAGAGCAGCTCACCTCATTTCCCCCACTTTTACCCACTTCTTCTTTCCACAACAATAAAATAAACTTCTACTTTGACTATTTTATTAATAATAACCAAAAATAAAAAAAAAATATCTGAAATAAAAATATAAGTATTTTAATGTTTCAATTATTAAATCTTGATAACTTTTTCATAATTAAAAATTCCTTGCAAAGGAATTTTTAATTATGAAAAAGAGATGTAAAAATTCCTTGCAAAGGAATTTTTACATCTCTTTTAGATCATTCTTAATTTTTCTGTTATGGTACCTTGATTTTTTTTTTGAAAAGTAAACATAATACTCTTTTTAATACCCTTGTTCTTTTTAATACCCTTGTTCTATATTTTTCACGCTTTACATTGGTTCTATTTTATATTTTATTTGCATGAAAAAATTTTCATCCAAAAAGGGCTGTGCAATTGTGCAAATTGGGGTGATGTTTAAATAAAAATTTGTTTGTCATTTTTTAAAAATTCCCATGTGGATGTGCATTCAAATAGTTTTTCCTGTTTAGTGTAAACTCTCATCAATGAGATTGGTGAGTAAAATTCAGACAACTGCAGTATTCTTTCTATTTGATTTTCTATTGATAACATCAACATCTTGAACTGCTGAATAACCTGGTATACTGTACTTAATTGTTATATCTTTAACTGACAGGTGTTGAGTCAGAAATTAAATCATGGCAGTTATCACTCTAAGTAATGTAATGTTTAGCTTTATGAAAGTTTTCTGCAACATTTAAATTTTTAGTCCACTTGCGAGATCATTACCTATTCTTCTTAGAGTTATTTCTGGCCACACAATAAAGTACTTCTTAACTATTTATTAGATTTAACATGTGCATCATATTGTATGCATTTATTTTTTTTTTGTAAAAAAAAATACTAATCTTTTAAGCGGACAACTCTTTTCCTATTTTAAATTTCTAACAAAGCAAAACATAATCAGAAAAAATATTCTGATAAAAATCATTATTAAATACATCTAAAACATCTTGCAAAGACAGTTACTTATTTCTGTGAGCAGCCATCTTTAAGTTGGGCTATATTTAAGTTGGGCTGTTTTTTCTAATGCGGGCTTCTCACTTTTATAAAGATTTAAAATTGCACCATAGATTTTAGTAAACTGCTTAAGCTCTGAAAAATTTTTTTCATCGTTAAGTTAAAACTTTTTTAATTTCATTGGTTATTTTTGCTGATAAAGCACAAACATTTTCTGAAGGGCTTTATAATACACTAATACAATACACTAATACGATACACTGTTACAACACACTGCTCTAAACTTAAAACCTTTGTTAAAAACAAGTTCAATACTTTTTTCAAAATGGTTTTAGTCTTATGTAACTCAAATTTAAACAAACAATATTTGACAAGGCGGGCAATGGTTTTTTTCAACCATTTCTGCTGAGGTCTTTCTCTTTATATATATATCTTTTTTAGTATATATAGATACAGCACTTGGAATCATGAAAAATAAGGTCGGCAATTATTTGCCGACCTTAATCTGTGTGAAATCGGCATCAGGTCGGCAGGAAAAATATGAAACAAAGGTTTGACTATAAAAATATAAATTTTGATGAAAATTTATATAAATTTAGATAAAAAGATAAGAGAGAGTCAGATTATTTGTAAAAACTTTGAATGATTGGATTTTTAATAGCAATAAGTTTTACTATTTTGATTTCTGGGATTAATATCTGGACAAAAAAATTGTTTGTGTATGCATAATACAATGGTTAAATACTATAAAATCAATGACTGTGGTATAAGTTTATATAAGCAATGGATGAAAAATTTGAACAAGGTTGTTTTGTTGGAAAAGAATGTTCCTGGAGTATTTTTAGAAAAAGATGCTTCTAAATGCAATGTCTAAGAGTTAAAATGATCGCTTGAGTATCATGAATATAAAAATGGAGTAAAAGAGGAATTTAAGTTGACATCAATAGTTATTATTATTTTAAAAATAGTTTTCAAGCTAGTTGGTTTTGTATGCTTCAGATTGCAAGAAAAGGCAGAAAATGAGATAAAGGCGCTGTTGCAAAGAGTAAAGAACTTTTTGCAACAGTGTTATAATTGTTTAAAAAATAAACTTTAGTTTTCTAAGAATGTAAAAACTATTGATATAATATATGGACTTAAACAAGAGCCAATAGCAATTACAAAATATGAAGTTTTAACAAATACAAAATTGTTACTAGTGGTATTTTGATATGTCAACATTATCCTTATCTAAGGGCAATTCCTGATGGCTTTATTTATGATCTTTATAAAACAATTATAGAAATAATAGGATTTATAAAGAAAAAATAAATAAATTTAGTATTTATTATTGTATTGTATCAAATAAAGAAGAAATAAATTTAGCATTTAGTATATGCAGTTTCAACTTAATTTTAATGGGTTTGATGGGCTGTTTAGCAAGAGATCAAATTTTATAGTGGGTTGATGCCATCATTTTGCAGGGTTTTTTTTTCACCTTATTGGTGGCATTAACACATTTTTTTTGGAAGTCCTTTTTATTTTTTGTTACTTTATCTGTCTTACGAAGAACTCCTTTAACTATTGCCCCAAAATCTTCAATCTTGCGCTTTTCAGGACGATTTGGAGGATTCGCATCTTTAGGAACAATTTTCACATTATTTTCTCACCATTCTAAAGTAGTTCTACCACTGTAGAACTACTTTAGAATAGTGAGAAGCAGCAAGATCTGGCCAATCAAAATATCAGTATTTGTGTTTTTTCATAAATGGTAAAAATCTTTTTTGAAAGCATTTTTTGATGTAAAGATTGGCAGTCAATTTAAGAAAAATCTGCCTTGCAATATGTTTTGTTGTCATCAATTATGCACATACTTTTATCCGCCATTATTTTAACCAACTTCTTTGCGCGTCTAATACCTTTAATTTCATCATTTAAGCTTCTCTTAGGTGTATTTTTCTTTTGAAATGCTTTAATTCAAGCATTTTTCAAGTACTTTTTTGATATAAAAACGCTTGTCTCGGATTTCCTTGCAAGATCTTGCTGTGACTGGTTTGGATTTCTTGCTATTGAACGTAAAATTGAATTTACCTTTTTGGATTTATTAAAATTTTATTCCTTCTACTTCCAAGTTTTCTTTCGAAGCTTTGAGTAGTCTTGAACTTATATATATCTATGACTGTAGATTTTGAAACATTTGTATGCTTAGCAATCAAATGATATGAAGTCAATGAATTTTTACAAAAAAATTCACAACTTTTTTATGCACCTCAATTGTTTCCAAAACATTTTGAAAGTAATTAATTTGTAAACAAAAGTTTATCAATACAATTAAATATAAGGAAATAAAGTTTAATTAAAAAAAAAAAAGAAATAAAAATCATATATAATTAGTATAGTGATTTTTAAAAAGATGTTTCTTATAAAAAAAAAAAGTCTATACTCTTTTGAATTTAACAGCTTATCAAGAAAAAATATTGTTATGTTGCTCTTGCTATTTCCAAAGTCCCTTATACCTTAAAGATAAAATACCTTAAAGTAAAAATAATGATACCTTAAAGTAAAAATGAGTAAAAAAAATATGTAATTTTAAAGGTATCTAGCAATGAGAATAGCTGTTTCGATTGGATTATAGCAATCGCTAAGACTTTAGCAAATCTTTTTACTAAAGTCTTAGCAATGATGACTTGCATAAACATGCAAGTCATCGTTGCAAAACCATGATGACTTGCATAAACAATTTTGAAAGTTAACAAGGCAAGCTGTAATGTTAAGTTAAATTTTTTACTTCAGTAAGTTTTCCAAGAAATGCAGGAATGTATATTGTTGATTGTTTTGATAGCAGCATATCTTGTATTGTGAAGCTTTTATTAACTAATAAACTGCCACCAGGATTAATAAAAGACAAAGTTCCACACTGTTGAAA